ATGCATTCTGCATATAAATTAAATAAGCAGGGAGACAAAATACAGCCTTGTCATACTCCTTTTCCAATTTTGAACCAATCAGTTGTTCCATATCCAGTTCTAACTGTAGCTTCTTGTCCCACATAGAGATTTCTCAGGAGACAGATGAGGTGATCAGGCACTCCCATTTCTTTAAGAACTTGCCATAGTTTGCTGTGGTCGACACAGTCAAAGGCTTTTGCATAGTCAATGAAGCAGAAGTAGATGTCTTTCTGGAACTCTCTAGCTTTCTCCATAATCCAGGGCATGTTTGCAATTTGGTCTCTGGTTCCTCTGCCTCTTCTAAATCCAGCTTGCACTTCTGGGAGTTCTCGATCCACATACTGCTTGAGCCTTCCTTGTAGAATTTTAAGCATAACCTTGATAGCGTGTGAAATGAGTGCAATTGTGCGGTAGTTGGGGCATTCTTTGGCACTGCCCTTCTTTGGGATTGGGATGTAGACTGATCTTCTCCAATCTTCTGGCCACTGCTGAGTTTTCCAAATTTGCTGGCATATTGAGTGTAGCACCTTAACAGCATCATCTTTTAAAATTTTAAATAGTTCAGCTGGAATACCATCACTTCCACTGGCCTTGTTATTTGCAGTGCTTTCTAAGGCCCATTTGACTTCACTTTCCAGGATGTCTGGCTCAAGGTCAGCAACCACACTACCTGGGGTGTACGAGACATCCATATCTTTCTGGTATAATTCCTCTGTGTATTCTTGCCACCTCTTCTTGATGTCTTCTGCTTCTGTTAGGTCCTTACCACTTTTGTCCTTTATTATGGTAATCTTTGTGCGAAATGTTCCTTTCATATCTCCAATTTTCTTGAACAGATCTCTGGTTCTTCCCATTCTGTTGTTTTCCTCTATTTGTTTGCATTGCTCGTTTAAGAAGGCCTTCTTGTCTCTCCTTGCTATTCTTTGGAAATCTGCATTCAATTTCCTGTATCTTTCACTATCTCCCTCGCATTTTGCTTGCCTTCTCTCCTCCGCTATTTGTAAGGCCTCGTTGGACAGCCACTTTGCTTTCTTGCATTTCCTTTTCATTGGGATGGTTTTCGTTGCTGCCTCCTGTACAATGTTACAAGCCTCCATCCATAGTTCTTCAGGCACTCTGTCCACCAAATCTAAATCCTTAAACCTGTTCCTCACTTCCACTGTGTATTCATAAGGGATTTGACTTAGATTGTATCTTACCGGCCCAGTGGTTTTTCCTACTTTCTTCAGTTTAAGCTTGAATTTTGCTATAAGAAGCTGATGATCTGAGCCACAGTCAGCTCCAGGTCTTGTTTTTGCTGACTGTATAGAGCTTCTCCATCTTTGGCTGCAGAGAATATAATCAATCTGATTTCGATGCTGCCCATCTGGTGATGTCCATGTGTAGAGTCGCCTCTTGTGTTGTTGGAAAAGCGTGTTTGTGATGACCAGCTTGTTCTCTTGACAGAACTCTATTAGCCTTTGCCCTGCTTCATTTTGATCTCCAAGGCCAAACTTGCCAGTTGTTCCTTTTATCTCTTGCCTCCCTACTTTAGCATTCCAATCCCCTATAATGAGAAGAACATCCTTCTTTGGTGTCACTTCTATAAGGTGTTGTAAGTCTTCATAGAATTGGTCAATTTCAGTTTCTTCAGCACCAGTAGTTGGTGCATAAACTTGGATTACTGTGATGTTAAAAGGTCTGCCTTGGATTCGTATCTAGATCATTCTATCATTTTTGAGATTGCATCCCAGTATGGCTTTCACCACTCTTTTGTTGACTATGAGGGCCACTCCATTTCTATTACGGGTTTCTTGCCCACAGTAGTAGATGTGATGGTCATCCGAACTGAATTCGCCCATTCCCGTCCATTTTAGTTCACTGATGCCCAGGATGTCAATATTTATTCTTGCCATCTCATTTTTGACCACCTCCAACTTACCCAGGTTCATGGTTCTTACATTCCAGGTTCCTATGCAATATTTTTCTTTACAGCATTGGACTTTCCTTTCGCTTCCAGGCATATCCGCAACTGAGCGTCCTTTCGGCTTTGGCCCAGCCGCTTCATCAGCTCTGGACCTACTTGTACTTGCCCTCCGCTCTTCCCCAGTAGCATGTTGGACGCCTTCCGACCTGAGGGGCTCATCTTCCAGCGTCATAACTTTTATATACCTATAAACTCCATGGACAAAGACAAAATTCATCTTAACCACATGCTAAAACTAGAAAGCCTTTGGATGCCTTTCTTTTTAATTAGAAAGGCTTCAGTTTCAATTTCTTTTTAATTAGGATGATTCTATACCATGTAGCAAACTCCCTCAGTAAAGATGGGAACAAGAGAATGTGACCAGGTCTGGGTGATTTAAACTTAGACAAGTCAGATATGTCAGAGACTATGAATTCAGAGGTTTTCTGTATCTGGCAGTGTTTATTATAATCCAACAGCAACTACTCTTGTTGCAGGGGTCTTGTGACCACTTATTTCTTGAATTGGGAACACCTTAAAGGTGAGGCACAATGGATACAAAACTGAAACTTTCTTAACAAGTATTCTATGAAGAATAGATCTTAATGGTTTCACTTAGATCCAGGACTGCCTACAAAGTGGTCAATGGCAGGTGGGTTGGGAGGTGGGGCTGACTCAGGGGGTGGACCCAATGGAGCATGAAGGCTTCCTTTGAGTCTGCTGTTGGGGCATTTAAAGCTCTAGTGCTCAGTTCTTCATTGGCTCACCCACCCTCCCATTGTGTAAAGGTTTGTCTTGGGTAATTTGACCTTGCTATGGACTCTGTTGGTTGCCATATTCAGGGCCAGGCAGGAATTTGTCCACCAGGCCAATTGGCTCCTGTCTGTTGGTTTTGCCTACCAAATAGCAATGGTCACAAATTAGGTGGCTTAGGCATTGGGTGAACCTTAGTCTTGGATGGAGAGGAGGTTGTAGTCTCTGCCTACCGCTTCAAGTGAAAAGGTATCCTGCTAAAGGGATCTGAGATGAGTTGCTTCTGTACATGGGGAGTTCATATGCCCAAAGGTGGAGGGGTGGGGGTGGGGGCCACAGCACTCGTCAAGATGACGATCCCCACAGGGGCCCTCCTATTTTATATAAGTCCTAGGACCCTGCACTGTCAGGTTGACCCAGGGCTTCACTTCTGGTAGGCAGGCCAGAAGTTGGGGTTTATGCCCAATGCCTATGCCAGACCTCTTACATCTTTAACCAATAAAGTTGTAGCCTTATTTGACCCATAAACTGTATTATGTCTGGTTCTTCCTAAATAGTTGAGGGGCAGTGGGTGGGTGGAATCTTGACACGACTTTGTTCATTATTTCCTTAGTGGGATAGGGATAAAAAATGTCATACAAGTAAAGTCATGGATCATGATGAAGTTCAGCAACATAAACTCAATCTGTGCTTTTGTATATGCGCTTCAAGGTGTATTTTTATCACATTTTCCAAGAGTTGTCATGCAAAGTGATTGAATCCAGAGATAAATGTTATCACCGGTGCTATTTTTCTAGAAAAATAGGTGCTGGGATTCACCATGAACACCTCCCTTGTTCTCTTAGAATGGCAATGGAATTCATCTGAGAGGTGCCGGAACTGAGTTCCAGTGAGTTCCAGCTGAGAAAAAGACCTGGTTATCATGTTTTAAAAGCTGCAAATCAAGCAGCTGCTGGAAAAATCAGAGACAATGTATTAGCAGGAAAGAGAAAGTGCAGGAAGAATGCCCCCAAACACCAGCAGAGGAAGCGGTGTGTTGTGTGTGCAGCCTGCCCCGGGTGTCATCCCTGGGAGGGAGTGACATTGCCGTACCGCCCCCTAAGGGGCTTGCCACTCACCGCGGACGGCGCCCCCCTGGGACTCTCGCCCTGCCCTGTTAAAAAAACTGCGGGCAAAGGCCTGGCCAGGGCGAAGGCCTCTTATATACCTGCTGCGATTGACAAGGCATCTGACCCTCACCTGAATCTCATAACTCTCTTAACAGGTGATTTGGTCTGCAGACACAGTGTGGAAATAAAGGATGAGATTGCCCACCAGATACCAGGCACTCTACTATTCAAATTAAGCCCCAGTGTATACACCAGCGTAATAGAGTTGGCCGGGATGCCAGAAGGGATATAATTAAGAGCTTTCTCCATTATCTGCACAGCAGGGGGTGTTCAGTCAACAGTGCATAGGCTGAACTGACGTGTTCCCTGCTGGTTACCTGCTTTCAGCAATAGGGGTCGCTATTTTGTAGTACCCAGTTGGTTAGCTGTCAGATTCTAGAGCTCCCTATAGGTGGCTTTTAGGTAATTCACAATATACAGAGACCATTCATAAAACGCAGTGTTCATTCATAAAGCAGTAATGTAAATCTACATTGCTACATATTGGGTGTATATTTCAGTAGTTGAACGTACAGGTTTATGGCCATGCTGTAGTGTAGTGCTTATGTAACTGTGAATAAAAGATGGCTGGGCTCATTGTCTTCGGGTTTGGGGGGAGAGGTGGCAAAACTGATTTCCAATAAGTGCCCCCCCTTTGTTTCCATAACAAGTCCTTCATTCTTGTTATGTGACACCGGGGACCTAGAAGGGGCAGGGCTTTTCAGTCCAAGCCCTGCACAGTCTCATCAGGGCTGCCCTTAAGGCAATTGGAGCAATTGGGCCAAATTGGGTGCCACTCCTAAGGGGCCCCACACACCAGGGCAATCTAGATGGATTATATTTATATCTATGAGATTTTGCAGACTTTGGCCCTACCAAAAAAAAAAAAAAAAACACACCCAAAAAACCCAAGTTGCACTCCATTGCTTCAAATTGGGCCCCAATGGCTAGTCCTGAGTGTCATAGTTGCTGGGCCCAAGTTGTCCTGCCCTCACATGAAGTCTTGGCTTTGCAATTTTGGGAGAGGGGAGACTGCAGCACTGGGGAGAGGGCAGGCTGGTGAGGCCTGCTAGATTTAGAGGCACTAGGCTTCAGCCTACTTAACCTATACATAAATCCAGCGCTGCCTCTAATCATTTCCATTCAGTGGAAAGTGAAAATCTTCCCAAAATCTTCACCAAGGCAGCTTTGACTTCCTGGTTCCTCAGAGTATAAATAAGTGGGTTCAAAACTGGTGTGACTGCACTGTATATTAGGGTCACCATCATGTCCCTTTGAGAAGCATTACCCACAGAGGGGAGCATGTAGTTAAACAAAACAGGCACATAGAGCAAACCAACCACCATCAGATGGGATCCACAGGTGGAGAAGGCTTTCTGTTTACTACTTCTGGATTGCACTTTGAAGAGAAGAAAAGTGATAATGTAGAAGTAGGAGAGGAGTGTTGCTATAAAAGGACCCATTGCAATGCAGCTGGTTACAGTATTGAGGAGCATGAGGTTGAGGTGTGTGCTGCCGCAGGCCAGTTTCAGCAAAGGTTTGATGTCACACAAAAAATGCTCAATGTGATTGGGCCCACAGAAGGGCAAACGGGCAGTTGCCATTGTATGCATCAGGGCATGAAAAAAGCCAGTGGACCATGTGGCTGCTGCCAAGAGTTGGCAGACGTGCTTGCGCATGATGATGGAGTAACGCAAAGGGTTGCATATTGCAACATATCGGTCAAATGCCATTATTCCGAGAAGAATGACTTCGCTGCTGCCCAAGAAATGGAAAAAGTGGAGCTGGGCCATGCAGCCAGCAAAGGAAATGGTTTGGACTGGCAACAGAAAACCAGCTAGCATCTTAGGAACAGTGACTGTGGAAAATAAGATGTCAAGGCAGGAAAGGTTTCCAAGAAAAAAGTACATAGGAGTGTGAAGTTTTGGCTCAGCTATTGCGACAACCACAATAGCTGCATTTCCCACAATGCTGGCCAGATACATCAAGAGAAAGATAGCAAATAGTGTGTGCTGAAGCTTCCAAAGATTGGTCAGTCCCATCAAGATGAACTCTCTCACATCTGTTTGGTTCTCCATTGCTAAAAGACAATAGGGAACAATAAGAGGAGGACTATTAAAATTTAATAGTCAGTAAGCTCTGAAACTGCAGTGGGAATAGAAGGTGGATGAAACAGGCTAATAACATGCACACAAATGATGGAAGGTGACTTAGAACTTCCCAGCATAATTGTAAATGCATCTCTCACTGGGTTTGGAGATATCAGTTAATACTTACGAGCTTCATCTTCATATTATCTCTTATCTCATGGGGTGGGGGGGTGACTATTTGAAGCTGCACTGTAGCATCAGAGTCCATCATGACCAAGGGAATCCATACCTTCAGTCAACAAACTCAAAAACATTCATACTTCTTTGTATTTTGCAATGCAGTCTTCCAATTAAGTAACGTGTACAGAAAAATCACATGCTGAGATGAAGAGTGAAGAATATGCATCTGCTAGTGAGGAAGACATTCACCTATGAATTATATTATATAAAATTTGTTTTGCAAACATGAGTATATTTAGAGAAATTCATGCAAACACCCAGTGAATCTTCATGCAGATAGATAGTGAAATTTAAAGAACCAAATTTAAGTTTGAAAATAATGAGATCCTGAGAAAAACCAAACAGAGATATTTGGCCATCCCTACCACAGATACAGATACTAGGTGAATTTTGTAGCTGGTGCACAGTCTTACAATCTAGCTAGAATCTGGATTTCCTGCCTTGAAATACAAATGGGGGAAAGAATCAAAACAATGACAGATATATTTGGAAGCATACAAATCATGAACTTAGGTTAGATTGCCTTTGGGGGGGGAGTGTGCCTATTTGTGTGGCATAGATAGGAAGGAGGCCTAATTTCGGTCAGTGTTTGGCCACTTGGGAATAGCTGGTGGACACCAGTGTTTGGGGTCAGGATGAAAATTCAGAATGAAGTGGCTTATGGAATCTGCCGTAAGCTTTTGAAGGAAAAATGGGTTATAAATATGCAAATGCCCTTCCGCACATTTTACCGTTGGTGAAAACACCATTCAGAATTTCAAAATTATAATGAATGCAAAATGTTCATAAAGAGTTCTAATGAGACTATGAAACTTAGTCCTTTCTGCAGTTCAGGTGAGATGCTAATTGTATGTTAAAGATGGTAGACTTTGCTGAAATATTTTCACCTTGCTTAGAAACGCATCTGAAGACCAGCAAAGGGTATTCTGCCTCAAACCACAATAATGCAAGCGGCATTGCCTCCAAACATTAATGATAACTCAGTTTTAGAATTAAACACTTAATGCCACAATGGCAGTGTTGTGTCCATGCCCGTGTTACCCATGGAAACATACACATAGGCACACATGAATAGGCACTCATATTTTAATACCAAATTCCATAAATAACTAAAGCAAGTTGTTATTGCTTTCTCTTTCCAGTATGCCTCATTGGGGATCTTCTGACATGTTGTCTAGGATCAAAGAATGGAAACAGATAGCATTGTTTAGGATCAATGTGTGCTAATCAATTATTTGAGTTGTAGGCCACCAATTCTATTCAATTTAGACCAGCCTTTCTCAACCTTGGGTCCCCAGATGTTGTTGAGCTACAACTCCCATCACCCCTAGCTAGCAAGGCCAGAGCTCAGGGATGTTGGGAGTTGTAGTCCAACAACATCTTGGGACCCACAGGTTGAGAACCGCTGATTTAGACCCACTGAAAATAAAGAACCTAACTATGTAATCTTCAATCATTTCAGAGGATGCTATCTGTGTTGGACTAGCATTGAACACAATATTTGTATTTTATCATCATGAACATTTTCATTTTCTATTGTGTTCTTTACCAAGGTTTATTAGCTGTAGCTTTCTGCAAAACTGACTGTAACCTCGAACATATACACTGCAACTTTTATAAGAAAGAATGGGACAAACATAAATGGCTTCATTAACATCCTGTTATATATTGTGTCCTGTAAAGCTGCAGACAGCTCCTACCTTGATGGAATCCACTTGTCCATAACATAAGACTAGAAGTTAATTGAAGCTGAGAAAACTATACAAGGTAGGAAGTCATATGACTTTTAATAGATAAAAACAGTGTCACTGATTGCTGTGTGAACCACACATAAATATATGTGCCTAAACCCTGGTATGTAACATGTGACCCATTTGGGGAAAGAACTACCAGCATTAAGTTAGAGACTCTTGATTGTTCATGTGGGAATTGAATCTAGAAGCCTATCTATTTTGAGAAAATAAACTAGTTGCACTTTTGAGAATACAGATAGTGCTTTTGAGAATAGAAACAATTTGTGCAATCAATGCATGCTGGCAAGTTGCATTCAATGATCAAGCTTTTTTCTTCTATTTTCTTTTAAAGTAGCATTATGAATTTTATTTCAGTAAAATCTAAAAGGACTAGATTTCAGACTAGCAAGACACACATAAGAACTCATTCTTATGTGTGGCAAAGGGGGCAAAGAAAGGTCAATGAGGGGTGTGGCCTTTTAGTCTCAAAGCCAGACAGAGAGAACAGGGTGGTAGTGCTGTGTTCCCCACCCATAACTTACTGTTACACCCAAACCTGGGGTGGTCATTTCCCCCCTCTCCAAACAAACCACACTGTCATGGACAAGCTGGATTCAGAAGAGTGATGGGAGGTGCCAGCTGAGGAACCCTCTAGGGAACCCCCAGAGGAAGAAGGCTCAGAGCCGAGGAATTTGTGGTAAGATGACAATGAGTGGTCAGAGGGAGAAGGAGCAGACTGAGAGGAGGAAGCGTCAGAAGCAGAAGAGCAGACCCTCCAAGTGTCCCTATTTTCCAGGGATATCCCTGATTTAGAGAAGCCATCCCGGTTTCTGATTTGATCCCAGAATGTCCCACTTTTCCTTTGGACGTCCCTATTTTCATTGGAGAATGTTGGGGTATGGAGTTTGACCTCTGCGACCCATCTGAAAGCAATCTTGTATAGGAAGTTTTTTTTTTAATTAATGTTTATTATGTTTTATATATGTTGGAAGCTGCCCTGAGTGGCTGGAGCAACCCAGTAAGATGTGTGGTGTATAAATAGTAAAAATATCATTATGGAATGGGACTCCCTATTTTCATTGGATAAATGTTGGAGGATATGGAAGAGGTGACAGGATTTAGGGAACAGGAAGAGGCCAAGGTAGAGCACAGTTCAAACTCTGAGGCAGAAGAGGGGACTGTAGAGGGGTGGAGCCAAGAGATAGAGAGGCAGGCTGCTGAAGAAGTCAGCAGGTCTCCCCCTCCTGCTGCAACCAGCTACCCTTTCCCCTATCTCCTAGAACATGCTGAGAAATGAAAGGTGCAGAGGAGAGGGTGGTTGTGTGCAGACACAGCCTGAGACTGCAGGGGAAAGACCCTGGAGAGGAGGAGTCCTAGGCAGCACTGAGAAGGTGAGAATCTTCAGCCCTTGCAACTACTTCATCAGGGCAATACCTCCTAGAACGAGTTGCTGAGACCACTGGGCCGGATCTATGGTTTGTTTCCTTGAATAACAGAGTTAACTCCACTGACCTCGGGTGATTTATTGTTTCGTTGCTGACCTACTACTGACTCCAGTCCTGACACACAAGTTGTAATCAATGTTTGTCATTGGTTTACTGGTTTGGGTTTATTGAGACCCAGGTTCATATGGAATCTGAAGCCAGGAAATGTATGTGCTCCTGGCAGCAGCACAAGCAGGAAAAAGTGAAGCATCCACAAGAACAAACAAAAACAAACCAATAACTCCCTCCCTGACCCACTGCCCCAGTACATTTTGGCCTGGTGCTAAAAGGTGTGTAATGAAGGCACTAGCAAAACCTCCTTGAGCAGACCATTTCATAAATGGGGAGCCACTGTAGAAAAGACCGGTTCACATATCGACACCCTCCAGACCTCTTATGGAAGAGGCACATGAAGAAACCACATCCACCCATCAATCAGCTGATGTTGCAAGTGATGTCAACTGATGGAAGAGAGGATAGAATTTAGTTCTTTATTGGATGTGCATCCCTGTTCCCTGCTTGGAACACATATGTTCAGCCAAGACAAATCTCTGCATCATCATCATCATCATCATCATCATCATCATTTTGCAGGCATCAGTTGTGATTGGGTCCTGTGTCCCATGCAGTCAATGTTTGTAAAATGCAGAAGAAAAAAATGCTTTCTTCACCCTATCCTCAGATTTCCCTAAAGCATCAAGCTTGTTACTGCCGTCCCCAAGCATCCTACCACAAAGTGCCAGGAGCTAGAGAACCCTGTGCAAGGGAAGTTTACAGGACAACCCAGTCATCTTTTATGTGATATCATAATGATGTAATATGATCAACAGGAGGATTTCACTCCCTCCCTTAAAATTGGCACATGTGCTCAAGAAAAAAAGGGAGAGTTCATCCCTGATACATGAATGAGGCCTCAGCAATTTATTTTTGGGTCCTTTGATAAATAGAGTGCTTATTGATTACATAAGATGTAGAATGTAAAGCATATTTGGAGATTTTACTGAGAAAACACATCAGAAGTCCTTTAGAAGCAAGCTGAACATACCATGACACCCATAAAATTTCTCAGGAGTGGTGGCTTACAAATTTAAACAAAAAAATCATCCACTATCAGAGGCCTGTAATGATTTCCCACAAAGTAAAACCCAATTGTCTTTCTCTTGCAGTTCTGCTACAGTGTGAGTTCCTGTTCTGGTGGTTACATGTCTAAGAGTACTACCATTGGAAAAAAACCTTCTTTGATCATTTCCTTTCAGTGAAAAATGAAATATTTTTTCCCCAGAATCTTTAGCAAGGCAGATTTGACTTCCTGGTTCCTCAGAGTATAAATAAGTGGGTTTAAAAGTGGGGTGAGTGCACTGTATATGAGGGTCACCATCATGTCCCTTTGAGAAGCATTACCCACAGAGGGGAGCATGTAGTTAAACAGAACAGGCACGTACAGCAAACTAACCACCATCAGATGGGATCCACAGGTGGAGAAGGCTTTCTGCCGACCACTTTGGGACTGCACTTTGAAGAGAAGAAAAGT